AGGTTAATCTTGGACAATATCTGATGATCGACTCTTTTAAATGAAACCAGAGAGCGTTGACAGAGAGAAGAAGGTAGAAATGAATCAGCCTGTAACTGAAAATATAGATGGAGGACCTCAGTTTAGCTTGTTTGTTGCACTAGCACCGAGCTAATATATGTAAGGTAATATAGCGTCAGTGTTAATGCTAAAGCTAACAGGCTAAGCTGAGGTTCTTCTTCCATGAAGCAGCTCTGTTGTCCTCCATCCATATTTTCAGTTACAGGCTGATTCATTTCTACCTTCTCCTCTCTGTCAACGCTCTCTGGTTTCATTTAAAAGAGTCGATCATCAGATATTGTCCAAGATTAACCTTCAGGGTGGACTAGCAGCCTCGTAACGAGGATGTAGTTGACGTAATCATTTACCCAGAATGCTTTGCGTGTAAATAAAATGGCCCCGTCCGTGTAATACAGTATATTTTTAAACTTTTCATTTAAAAATTATAAAAACTGAACATCCTACAGTATTTTTATTGTCTTTATTTTACAGTTAAAGTATTTGTTTATCCAATAAAGTCTAATGTTACAACTAATCGGGGATCCTTTTAAGAAATGTCTACCCAATCGACAAAGTCACAGTAGTCCAACAGAGAAGTAACAAAAACAACTAAAGGTCTGTAATTATAGCGCCAGACATCTGTGGCATTGTGCTCTATGATAAAACAACACGTTCTAGAATGGTCTTTTATTGTGGCACCCTGTGCAATAACCATGCTGTCTAATCTGCATCTTGATATGCCAGACCTCAGAGGTGGATAGATTATCTCTGCAAAGGAGAAGTGCCCACTATCACAGATTTACACAAATTTCTGAACAATATTTGAAGGAAGGTCTATTGTGTGCACAGAAGATGTCTTAGATATTTGAGTTCAGCTCGTGTATTTAAATCAACAGCTTTACTTCATATTTACCTGTAAGTTTTATGCTTTCAGACCCAAGCATGTTGCCTTATTTTGTTTCCTGTTTCATCTCACCTGACTCTCAGCAGAGCCCTCACCGATCTCCTGCATCGTATCGCCCAGCTCATTCAGGATGGAGAGTGTGTGAGTAACATTAGTTTTTTCATTTGGCTTTCCATAAGTCTTGAACATCATCCCCTTGTCTGCAAACCATTAAACTACATGTAGACAAGGTGTCTCTGGATTCACTGCAGACAATAATCCCAAAAGGTGTGATGTTTGAGGCTTCGCAAGCCTTAAACTAAAGTCTTGTCTTCAGTATTCTTTAGCTTTATCTGGATAATTCTAACAAAAAAAAAAACCACTGAATTTGCCTCTTTGTATCACTGTAATAACATCTGCATCAACAGCTCATCAAATTACACAAAGAAGCCAATGAATATCTCAAAACAAATGAACGTCATTTTTTCTTGACAGTCCAACCTTATTTTTTCAACCCAATGGTAGTTTAAAATGCAAAATGATCGGAACAAAGTGATACAAATGAAAAATTTAAAGAACGTGTAAAGTAAAATGTAACATTTTCTTTTTTAAACATTATAAATGTCATAAATGGGTTGTTGTAAATGAGTACAAGTTCTCTCACCTGTAGATATTTGAATAGTATGATTCAATTTGTGTAACAAGGTGTCTGTGTTTCAGGATTTTTTGGGCGTGTCTTAAAGGGCAACCTCGTGATGTCACGCAGCTGCCTTCAGTACAACCCTGCCCCCTGTTGCTCTAGTGGAAAAGAAAAGAAATATTGTTTCCTCGGTTCCAGGAATGTTCAGGGTCGTGGGCGTGGTTTAAGCTCCTCCAGCGGACACGCCCCCAGCATTCTAGACCATGGCTAACTAATATTTTTTCATTACTTTTAACACATAATTTTATAAGGTCAATGTTACACACTTGGTTAAGATGAAATAACCACTGCCGGTGTAGTGAGTTGTATGGGGACTTTATTCTGTAAACACAGTAAATAAGGCACATTAATCGACTGCTGGTGGCATTTTCCACACCGCTTCAGTCCTCTCCATACATAAGGACCCCTCTCCTTAATACTTAATACAACAGAAATAATAACACGATCCACGTTATTCTGCATTCCACACAACGTGTTGGTCATGTTCACCTCATTTTCTTATAATGTGAACCCTTTTACATTTCACCGTTTACTGTTTTTATAACTATGTAATGCTTAACATAAATCCTTCTGGTAGTCCTTTATAACTTTACTAAAACACTAACAACTTATTTAACTGTCAGAACATCATGCACAAAGCCACCATTTATACTGTTCTCCTTCACTTCTGGTGAGCTAGCGCTCCCGCGCTACCATGCTACCGCTAGCATAAGACAGCTAACTGTAACTCTGTACATGCATTCCACACACACGCACGCGTCACAGACTCACTGCCCTGCYGATACATTGGTTTGCTAATTCATGCTCACATCTGCACACTTTAACTCAACAACTCACCTGTAAACACAGTAAATAAGGCACATTAATCGACTGCTGGTGGCATTTTCCACACCGCTTCAGTCCTCTCCATACATAAGGACCCCTGTCGGCATCAACAAAGACAGTGCCGAATGCGGTGT